GTTGTTGAAAGACTATGATATCACCATTTTATATCACCACGGAAAGGCCTATATGGTAGCCGATGCTTTGAGTAGAAAGGCTGTGAGTATGGGCAGTCTTGCGTATATTCCGGTTGGTGAGAGGCCATTAGCTACAGATTTTCAGACTTTGGCTAATCAGTTCGTGAGGTTAGATGTTTCAGAACCCAGTCGGGTTCTAGCTTGCACAGTCACTCAGTCTTCTTTATATGAGCACATCAGGGAGAGGCAGTATAATGATCCTCATTTACTTGTCCTTAAGGACACGATGCGGCACGGTGATGCCAAACAAGTTGCTGTGGGGGAAGATGGGGTTCTACGAATGCAGGGTTGTATTTGTGTGCCTAATGTGGATGGGCTTCGTGAATTAATTTTTGAAGAAGCACACAGTTTGAGGTATTCTATTCATCCAGGTACCGCCAAAATGAATCAAGATTTGCGGCAACATTATTGGTGGAGGAGAATGAAAAGAGATATAGCTGCACATGTAGCTCGGTGTCTGAATTGTCAGCAAGTTAAGTACGAGCATCAAAGACCTGGTGGTTTGCTTCAGAAGTTAAAAATTCCTGAGTGGAAGTGGGAGCGTATCACTATGGATTTTGTTGTTGGGCTCCCACGGACTCAGAGAAAATTTGAGGCTGTTTGGGTCATTGTGGACAGGTTGACCAAGTCACCACATTTCATTCCAGTGGCAGTTACCTATTCTACAGAGAGGTTAGCTGAAATTTACATTTGTGAGATTGTCCACCTTCATGGTGTGCCTGTGTCTATTATTTCAGATCGAGGTACGCAGTTTACCTTACATTTCTGGAGGGTTGTACAGCGTGAGTTAGGCACGCGGGTGGAGTTGAGTACAATATTTCATCCATAGACAGACGGACAATCAGAGCGCACTATTCAGATATTGGAAGATATGCTCTGTGCTTGTGTTATAGACTTTGGAGGTTCTTGGGATCATTTCTTGCCATTTGCGGAGTTTGCTTATAATATTAGCTACTAGTCGAGCATTCAGATGACTCCGTATGAGGCATTATACGGAAGGCGATGCCGATCGCCAGTTGGTTGGTTTGAACTGGGAGAGGCTCGGTTGTTGGGTACCGATTTGGTACAGGATGCCTTGGATAAGGTCAAGATTATACAGGATCGACTTTGCACAACTCATTCAAGGCAAAAGAATTATGCCGACCGTAAATTTCGTGATATTGCATTCATGGTTGGAGAAAGAACATTGCTCCGGGTTTCACCTATGAAAGGTGTAATGAGTTCGGAAAGAAGGGAAAGTTGAGCCATAGGTATATCGGACCCTTTAAAATTCTTGAAAGGGTGGGTGAAGTAGCCTACAGACTTGCATTACCACCTAGTTTATCAGCGGTTCATCCGGTGTTCCATGTGTCTATGCTCCGAAAATATCATGGTGATCCGTCCCATGTGTTAGATTTCAGCTCAGTCCAATTGGACAAAGATTTGACTTACGGGGAGGAGCCGGTGGCTATTCCAACCCGGCAGGTCCGACAGTTGAGGTCTAAGAGTTATCCTTCAGTTCGGGTGCAATGGAGAGGTCAGCCGGTAGAGGTATCTACCTGGGAGTCCGAGTCGTACATGCGGAGTAAATATCCACACCTTTTCTCCAGCTCAGGTACTTTTTCTAACTCCGTTCGAGGACGAACGTTTGTTTTAGAGGAGGAGAATGTGATGACCCAAAATATCATCTTTAAATTTAATAAGTAATTCTGTATTCTAAGACCTCAAAAAGCATCATTTATTATTCCTCGACTTGCGTGCATTGTCCGTTCAATTTTCCGGAAAGTTTTCATGTAAAAAATAGATTAAAATGTGAAATAGAGCTTTAAAACTCAACTAAGTTGACTTTGGTCAATATTTTGAGCAAACGGGCCCGGATTAATATTTTGACAATTCCGATAGGTCCGTATCGTGATTTGGGATCTGGGCGTATGCCCGGAATCGAATTCCGAGGTCCCTAACTCGAGATATGGAATTTTGATAAAAAATTAAAAGCTTGAAAGCTTAATGATTTTTAAGAAATTACTGATGTTGGATTTATTGACCTCGGGTCCGTATTTTGGTTCCGGATTCCAAGGTAGATCAACTATAATATTTATGACTTGTCTGCCGAATTTGGTGAGAATCAGAGTTGATTTGACGTGATTCGGACGTCCGGTTGTCAAAATAAAGGTTTTAAAGTTTTCTTGAAAATTTCCTTTGATTTGGTGTCTGATTCATAGTTCTAGGTGTTAGTTTGGCAATTTGATCATGCGAGCAAGTTCGTATGATGTTTTAGGACTTGTGTGCAAGTTTGGTTTGGAGCCCCGAGGACTCGGGTGAGTTTCTGATAGGCTACGGGACGATTTCGGACTTAGGAAATCTGATTTTCTGCAGACTTCAGGCTTCTGGTGTGTTTTTCTTCACGTTCGCGAAGGTACTCTCGCGAACGCGAAGAGAATATTGGGGCTGGCATGTTTTTTGCTTCGCGTTCGCGACATAGTAACCGCGTTCGCGAAGGCTTGAGGTTCAAAGCTTCGCGTTCGCGAAGGGAAAGAGGTTGGCCAGGAAAACTTAGCCTTCGCGTTCGCGAAGGGCATCTCGCGTTCGCGAAGGCCAAGCCAGGCAAGCATCGCGTTCGCGAGATAGCCCTCGCGTTCGCTAAGAGTAAAATTGGACAGCACAAATTTGTGCTTCGCGAACTCGAGGCATTGGCCGCGTTCGCGAAGGGTAAAAATCCCAAAAACAGAACTTAAGTTGTGGAAATGGGGCTTCGACCCATTTTCAACTCTTTTTCATTTTTGAGCTCGGGTAAGGCGATTTTTGGGCAATTTTTACGAAAAAACATTGGGGTAAGTGTTTATTATCTTATATTGATTATATTTCATGATTTCATACTCATTTATATCATGAATCCGTGAATTTATGGAAGAAAAATCAGATTTTTATAAAATCTTCTAAAAACAAAAATTTAAGATTTGAAGGCCCATTTGACATCGGAATTGGATAATTATTGTATGGTTGGACTCGTCTCGGAATGGGTGTTCGGATTTCGTAAATTTTTTCGAGATTTGAGACGTGGGTTCCATTGCTGAATATTTTAATAAATTTTGTATTTTATCCGAAAAATTAGTAAATTCATATGGAATTAATTCCTATGATTCGTATTGAGTATATTGAATTGTTTGTGAATAGATTTGAAGCTTTTGGAGACAAATTTAAAAGGAAAAGCCGTGGTTGAGTAATTGATTGGAATTTGCAAAGCAAGGTAAGTATCGTGGTTAACCTTGACTTGAGGGAATAGAACCCTTAAATTATTTGTTATGTGAAATGCATGTGAACGATGTATAGGCGAGGTGACGAGTGTCTATACGTCGTCAAATTAATTGTTTGCATAATTACTTGAAAAAAATCATAAATTATTTTAAATCATGAATTAGTTATTATAATAATTATTTCTCTCCTATTCTTTGCCAAATATAAATTCTTGAATTCCTGCATTTAATTGTTACATGCTACTTGAATTATGTGTCTTAATTGTTATTTGACATTTAGCATATTAAATATTAAACTGCCTATTTTCACCCTGATTTCTATAATAATTTGTTATTTGACATTGTCTATTTCATGATTAAATCATAATTATTGTATGCTTGTTGTTTTATAATTTCATAATAATTGTTGCATTTATTTGGGAAATTCCTTCTATAAGAATTGGTAAATGAATATACTGGAGGAGCGGGTTGCACGCCGCAACAGAATTGATTGAAATGAATATATTGGAGGATCGGGTTACACGCCGCAACAGACTTATTAAAAAGTCCATATTGGAGGATCGGGTTGCACACCGCAACAAACTTATTAAAAGTCCATATTGGAGGATCGGGTTGCACGCCGCAACAGACTTATTTAAAAGTCGACATACATATATATATTGGTGGATCAGGTTGCACGCCGTAACAGACTTGATTAAAATGAATATATTGGAGGAGCGCACGCCGCAACGGAACCGAATGTGAATATATTGTGAGAGCGGGTTGCACGCTGCAACAGAATTGAATGTGAATATATTGTGAGAGCGGGTTGCACGCTACAACAGAATTGATGGAAATGATAATTTGTTATAACTAGTGAGTTGTCTTCAATCATTATAAATGAGTTACCTGATTTATTTCTATTATTGTTGTTGTTACTAATATTATGTACATGTAATGTAAGTGACCCGCCTTAGCCTCATCACTACTTCGTCGAGGTTAGGCTCAGTACTTACCAGTATATGGGATCGGTTGTACTGATACTACACTCTGCACTTCTTGTGCAGATTTTGGAGTTGGTCCTAGCAGCGTACCATAGACTTGCTCGGATTTCAGCTACCAGAGGAGACTTGAGGTGTAACTGCATGGCGTCCGCAGTTCTGAAGTCCCCATTTATTTGACTTTAGCTGTGTGTTTATTTTCAGACAGTTTTATTTTATTTAGATCTTTATTTGTAATTATTCTAGAAGCTCGTGCACTTGTGACACCAGTTCTGGGATGGTATTTAGACACCGTTATTTTTATGGGTTATTTTACTATATTTCAAACTTTGCTTCCGCATTTGTTTCTTTGATTATTAATAATTTAAAAATTATTTAAAAATTGGTTAATATTACTCTAATGTTGGCTTGCCTAACAAGTAAAATATTAGGCGTCATCACGGTCCGAAGGTGAGAATTTCGGGTCGTGACAAAATCACTGATTTGAGAACTAAACCAATGCATCCTTTTGTTCTGTGAGCATGCATGCCTTTTTTGATGAACTTTGGTGCAATTATAGTTAATTTGAAGTATGGGGTATCATTCATAAAATTCATCGTGGAAAACTCTCTGTTTATGCTCGAGGATTGGGTTTAAATGCTTGTGTTATTTTTTCTTCCCTATTTACTTTATGTATAATTGTATATTAGTTAACTCACGATCTTTCGCAACAGTATATATATAAAGAGAGAAAAAAGTTAGATACAATTTTTTCACAAAGTAGATAATTATATTTTCCCCACAGGCAAGAAATCATAGTACAACAACTTATACTACGTACTAACTATTTTTTCTTAATCAAACCAACACTCAGGCTGATGGGAGATTTACTACTACTACAACAACGACGACCCAATAAAATCCTACTAGTGGGGTTTGGGGAAGGTAGTGTGTCCGCAAATCTTATTCCTACTCCGAGGGAGTAGAGAAGCTGTTTCCGAAAGTCACTAATTATTCGAATTAACGACCCTACAATTCTTTCTTATTTCACCATCTGATCCAACTAGAGGGCTAATATTTCCCATCTTAATCATAGAATTAACAAAGTCACTAAAGAAAAACTGAGAGCTATTACTATAAGTTTCAACTAATGTTTTAGTTGTTTGTATAGCATCATCACTAGAGAACAAGACTTGATCTGATTCAAGAAGACCTCTTCCATTGATTAAATTCTTGAAATAATGATTGTCAAATAAGTCTGTGGAATTCCTATCAAGAGGGGCTGTGTTGTTTCCATCACTTGTCAATGGACACAAATTTTGCAGTTCACTCACTAAAGTTGTGTCTAGAGTTGTGTCTGGTGCACCTGTGCCACTGAAATTTCTTAATCTGTTGTCAAAGGTTGCACACTTTGCTAATCCAATTGTATGAGCACCTACATATATATATTCAAACACTCAAAAGGGTTAGTGAAAACCTTGCATAAAGTTTAATTAATGACCATCTACCATTATCTTTTATAAAAGGATTTAATTTATGTACACTGACAGTCGTGTATAAAAGTTTTAACTTGTCGTTAACATGTTGTTTGTTTTATTTTCTAAGTATAAATCTAGTTCCGCTTATTATGAATAGTTACATGTATCTTTTAGATGACCTGATTGCCCAAAAAATATTTTACACTATTAATTTATAGATGTATACATCATCATGTAACTTAAAAAGATAACTACAAGCCCGTCTACAAAAAATTGAATTAGCAAGCTAAGATACTTCCTCCGTCTCAAATTAACTTGTCGTTAATATGTTGTTTGTTTTATTTTCCAAGTATAAATCTAGTTTCACTTATTATGAGTAGTTACATGTATCTGATAAATGACCTGATTGCCTAAAGTTTTTTTACAATATCTATTATTATTATGAGTAGTTATGTTTTATAAAAGGATTTAATTTATGTACAGTCTGTAAAAGTTTTAACTTATCATTAACATGTTGTTTCCCCACCACCACCACCACCACCACCACAGGAGATGAAAGCCTGGGTGGAAGGATAAAATAAAAAAATATGTTGTTTGTTTTATTTTTCAAATATATATCTAGTTCCACTTATTATAAGTAGTATACGTGTATTTGTTAGATGACCTGATTGCCTAAAGTTCTTTTATACTATTAGTTTATAGATGTATACATTATCAGGTCACTTAAAAAGATTTGGTCTACAGAAAATGGGATTAGCGAGCTAGAAAATAAGAATGGTTACATGTTATAAAAGGTTAGGTTCATTATTAGTGTAAAAATTAATTATTTAAGATGTTAGTATATAAGTTAAATCCATATAGATATAGCTTAACTAATAGTTACCATATGTGTATTTACCTGATAGGCTCACAACATCTGTTACATTTAATCCAACAGCTTCGAACTTGGAAATGATTGTATTGAGAGGGTCAAATGGTGCTGGAAGTGCAGTATTTGATCCAGAAATATTAGCAGCTAATCCATCTCTTCTCCCTAATAACACCTTCCAAAATGGCCCTCCACTCTGAGCAAAAAATAAATAAATAAATTTGTATTAATTTCTTAAAATAATTAATGAAGTATGGCAACATGTCCCCTATATTTCTTCATTTTGAAAATCAACATATGGATATGAATCAATCTAAAGATAACCCAAAAATAATTATATGTAACCATCTATAAAAGGTGATATTATTAATCTAAAAAATAAAGACAGATTATATGTGGTAGCAAGTTAAAATACATTGATATATAAAAATCCAGTTTTTTATCGTATTAAAGAATGTATGGATCTATATTGCTCGGATTCATCTAAAACTCCTAACGCATAGGATCCAAAAATATACTACTTTTGGAAAAACTGACACACAACGTCACTGCGATGATATTTTTAAGAGTCCGAGCAACATAGATTAGGATTTAGGATCTTTACCAGTAGAACTGAATCTCTTGCAGCAATAGCTAATATATCTGCACAAGAAACAACTCCACCGCATGCATTTTCGACAGCAGTTTTAATATTGTCTATGACTTCAAAACCTCTTGCTGAGTTCAAGTTGGCTGGTGTGAACTTCTCACTTGTCGTACTATTTCCATCCAATAATACTGATGCATCACAACCCTATAAATCAAAAAAATTTAAATGATATATCTTAATCAGTTCTAACCTTTCTTTGTAAAGCTAAGGTTAACCTACAAATTATGAACTCTAAATTACAATATTAGACAAAGAAGATTAGGGACCCCAATTAAAAACAAATAAGAGAACTTACAACTAGCTAGAGGAACTCGTGCATGAGAAACTAGCTAGAGGAACTAGTGTGTGTGTGTGTGTGTCAATTTAGCCAAAAGAAAGTTCTAAAACATTATTTGTCGCTTTAGAAAGTCAAGAAAGCAGTAGTTTTCTTAACAATTCAACTCTTACTAATCCAAAAAGCATATAATCATTAATTACTCATTTAAGGAAAAAATAAGAATAACTTCATAAAATACTCATTATGATTATTGCTATCAAATAATTTTCTTAATGAGCATGCGAATATATTAAACGACAGATAAAAAGGACCGGCGATTGAGATAACAAAATAGTTTTTAAGCCAATAATAGAAAAATGAAATAAAACCGGTTGTAAAGACATTAGTGTGCATGCAAACACAATATTATCCTTTTTGGCACACTTTTAGGTCTTTTTTTTTTAAACTTAAAACATAATAAGTACAACTTTGGAAGTTTAACTGGATGAAAAATTCATAAAAAAAGGTAATAAAAACTTACACTGACGAAGCAATCGTGGAAATGAAGACGAAGCAAAGAAGCAGCCATTCTCATTTCATTCTTGATTGCATTCTGAACTTCTTTACGTACAACCTTAAGGACATTTGGACATGTTTTAGAGTAGAAATCAGTTGTTAGCTGAGAATTCACAGCTACAAACAAGATCAAGAGAATTAAAACTTGAGAATAGAAAAGAAAGTTGCAAGATTTCTTCATGGTTTAGCGATACTGGATTTTTATCTTAAGATGATGTGAATATATGTTAACGAACTCGAACCCTAATTTATAATCATGATTAAGAGATGATTAACAAATATAAAATTCAATTATGAACTAAGTGGTGTGATGTACGGCGGCTCCATTTTAGGGTTTTTGTATCAAACTTAAAATCTACAACCATTTCCTATAATGCTAATCACTGTGGAAAGTTAGGAGATGAAAGTTTTAATATTGCATGGTTATGGTAATGGAGGTTTAGAACTTATCAGATTATATGTTCATGAATCTAGAGCTGTTTTGATAGCCTTAGAGGGATTATTAAATTTGATTCTCACTTAGTGCATAATAAAATAACTGTTCCAACATCCTTAATTTTTAGTTCTCTATGGTATTAGTGCTTAATTACGTTGAGAGCATGATTATTATCTTTAACCTCCTATGTTATACTACAATAGTTGAATGTGCTTCTTTTATCAACTAGCTGGAAACCTTGCATCATCTAAAACCATTACACAAAAACGTTGACTTTTTTCCTACCTTTTTTTGTTTTTTTTCCATAAAATAAGTTGCTCTCAATGGAGGTAATAGTTGTGACTTGTGAACCACTTGAGTCTCTCATTGATTACAAAGATTACTGCTAATACATAGGCTCTCTTGTTTGTTACCATAAGATCTTTACAACAAATATAGCTAGTTGAATTCATTGTTTACATTTTTAGTTGGTATACATAAATTATATACTGATTATATATACATATCTTAATTGTACATATATTATACATGCACCTACTATTTTTAGTTTAAGCGGTTGAGTAGGAACAACATTAGATATTGACAGGAATGGCCATATAAGGGATGGTCTTTAAATATTATCCTCATTTTAAATATATTTTGATAAATAACCTTCGGACCACACAACCCTTTAGGTATTTCTCTATCAAATCGGTAGAGTTTACGCTATATTTACTCTAAAATTAAAAAATTATGGTATTTTTAGTGAACAAGAAGAGATAGAGAAGGGGTTGGATGGGCAAAGAGACGGAGTCCATTTATTAAATACCGCTAATTACGGAGATATTTAGCTAAGACCAATCCCATTGGAGATACGCCACGTAATTTTTCGAAAATATTGAGAGAATGGGATTCAAACTTAAAAGGGCCCATGTTTCCATATTAACATGAATGTATATGGAGGGCCCATTATATCTAATACAGCCCACAATACTTTCAATATCAAGCCCAGACCTGCTGAGCCTGTTAAATTAGCAGCCCGAATTTGTATATTGCTTATCACCCACCTTAGAATCAAGGAGTCCAGTTCGACTATACCCTATGGTCAGGAGCAGATCCAGAACACGAAGACAGGGTTCACCGAAATCCAATATTTTTTGTTCATACCATGTATATATACTAAGAAATTCATTCAATATCTACAATTATTATATTGTGAACTCATAAACTATTGTATATTAATTTGAGATCGTTGTAAAAACTCATTAACTATAAATCCTGGATCCGCCTCTGCCTATGGTGAAGGATGTGGTATGTTTATAGGTGTAACGAGTTTATGTTTTTCTTAGAAACTAAAGATAATATTTTAAACTAAAATAGGAAAGAATTTGATTAGTTTAATAGTTTAAACTAAAATAGGAAGGAAATGTTTGATATCTTACTGGTAAAAGAGTAGTAATACTTTGCGTATTGACTAAAGAGAGGAAGGAACTTTTTAACTAATACTCCATTGTGAAGCTCATTATCCAAATATTTATAATCCCTTCGTCTAAGTAGGTTTCCAAATGTTATATTTGAAGAGTGAAATGAAAATGTTTTGTTAATTATTTAGAACATTCTTTTGTTTATTTTGTAAAAGTAATATTGGAACTTGCATACAATAGTTTAAGGTCCAGTGTCAAATTTTTGTAAATATATTTTTTACATACGTAAATGATTCAAGTCGGATTGAATGATTTAACCCTGAAAATAAATACAAAAATGGACCCTCAATTAGCAAACTAAGACAATCTACTCATTAAATATGAAGCCGTCAAAAGAAAATAAAAAAGAAGAGGGGAAAAAGGAAATTTAAACATCTTCAAATTCTTCATATCTAGTCGCACATGTTATTCCACAATGTAATATTCTGCTCTTTAATTGGATACAAAGTCCAATAATGTGTGCGGATGATTTGAATATTATGGATTTTAAATTTTATAACAACGATTTTATATATATTTTATATATGAATTTCAAAGTATAAAGAAGTCTGTTAATGCTGCTGTGAAGTGACTTTAGTAAGAAACTTCTGTGCAGTATCTTAATTTTTGAAATACCTTAAAGTCAGCCATGCAGATAAAAAGGAATATCATGACTTCTTCATAATTCACACAATAATAAAAAAAAACTTATGACTCCTTCCTAGTCTCAGCTTCCTCATTTGACAATGTCACTCTTCTTAAATTTCTCGAATGGGATTTTTGCTATCATTAGTAAAATTCTTATAGCACATCGTACTATACCCAAAGAGATGTATTTTTTTCAATCAAGATTGTCATATACCATGTTTATTACGTTACTCTCATATCTACTAGAGGAAGTGAAGATATGACTGGTGATGATATTATAGTTGAAGAAAAGAAATATAAAGAAAGAATATTTTGTATAATAAAGCTTTTCCGACCGTCCAACGATCTTTTCACTACACTAATTGAGGATAAATTAAGCTCTCGAAAGAAGAAAAAATGACACGAAAATAATTTAGCTGCAAAGTGACAAGTTTTTTAGTCTCTTTTTATTTGTTTTCGATAGACATTATTCGACAGTCACTTCAATTCTTGGGCCTAGCAAAAAGAAAAAATCGTTCATAGTTGTAGGCCTACACGTGCATTTGATTTTTTTTTCAAAGACAGAGCTTTCACGAAAATAAGTTGTTGGCCAATTTTCTTAAATACTTCTTACTGTTGTTGTGATTGTAATTCCTTATAATGATGTGTACATTATTCATCCAATTCATGATTAGGTGAGGCAAGTAAACTTGGAGTAAACTTAAGTCTGAACTTAATTGACATTGTTGTAAAATCCAATCGAATTTATCTTGTCTTAATCATGTTGTTTAGTCAAAGCTAAATTTGACTTGTTCACTTAAAATCATATGAAGCTAAATCAGAATTTACATATATTCATCTCCTAATCTTTCGAATTTTAATACATATGTACATGGACGGATCCATCGTGTAATATATGGGTTTACATGAATTTAGAATTTTTATCCAGATTCGACATATGTATAAGAAACGAACTAAATATATGTAAATAACTTACCGCGAGTCAAATTGTTATTGTATATTAAATTGAGGTCATTATAGAATCTTATAAACTTCAAATGTTGAATCTACCTCACAATTTAGATAACATAACTATGCTATCGTAATCTACAATATCGAGTATATGTCCCTCAAATGTTCACTATTCTTTCTCCAATATATTATTCTTGTATATCCAATATACAATCTCCATAGTAAATAATCTAAAACATTTTGAAACTATTTTAGTAGTGATTTTCATAATCAATCATAGTTCCTCCTGAATAACCATTTTCTTATATCTTATTTCATATTTCTCATTTAGATATTTATCTATCAAAATTTAAAATATTTAGACATTACATAATTATTTTCTACTGACAATATATAACATAGACAACACGTGGATAATTTTCTTTTTCTCTTGAAAACACATCTCTTAATCAAAAATTTATTCTACTCTCTGTTTGTATAGAAATCGTCTCCCCACTTAACAAGTTGGAGCCAATTAAAATCCTACGAGTTGATCAATTATAGATTTGGACTAGACGTCCATTGCCCAGTCTTATAGATATTATTAAATGCACAAATTGAAAATTCTCTAACTATCTTGAAAAGAAAGATACAAATAATTTTCTTCACTCGTTTTCTTAAAATTAAATAATGACTGGCGGCTAATATTTGCCTATCTCCCTATTTGTTCCATAGTAATTACTTTGATAATGATATTACTCTCAATAGTCTCTAATCAACTGAATCTCTACTCCACTTCTTATATTCTATAAATAGCGACCTAAAATGACTCTCTAAAAATATATAGTAGCAACTTTCTTGAGTATTCTTGAAAACAAGAAACTAAAAAAGTTGACAATCATGTCTTTTTTAAGATTTGTTGGTACAATTCTTTTCTTGGTTGCAATTTTTGCAGCATCAAATGCTCAATTAAGCGCAACATTTTACGATAGCACTTGTCCTAATGTTACAAGTATTGTACGTGGTGTTATGGATCAAAGGCAACGTACTGATGCTCGAGCTGGTGCTAAAATTATTCGTCTTCATTTCCACGATTGCTTTGTCAATGTAATAACCCGACCCTTGAACCTTTTTAACCTGTGTTTTCATGAAAATCTATCCGAGTCTTAAAGCATTATATCACGTTACGGACATAAGTTATATATACTGACAGTATAAAGATCTTTTATCATATCAGTACAATTTAACATGTGCATGATTGTAGATTATACTTACTATTTATACTTATATATAGTGACAGATGTAAAGATCTTTTACCATGTCAGTGCAGTTTAACATGTGCATGATTGTAGGTCAGTTACCATTTTTACTATTCTAGTGGCGAGTATAATTTACTATGATAGTAAGTCAAGTTCACGTACTTTGATGTGATAAAAATAGCTCTGTGATTTTATCGTTAAAATGAGTAAAATTAAGTTATTTTAACGCGTCAGAATAATTCTTTGACATTACTGCTATAGCGGATAAAATTCAGTAATCTTACTATGATTAATTTTGTGACTTTACTGTTATTGTACGGAGAAAAAGTTCAGTGACCAAACGTGAAGTTAACCGTATATATATATTTGCACAGGGTTGTGATGGATCCATTTTATTAGACACAGATGGGACTCAAACTGAAAAAGATGCAGCTCCTAATGTAGGTGCAGGAGGATTTGATATTGTTGATGATATTAAAACTGCATTAGAGAATGTATGCCCTGGTGTTGT